ACAGCAGGGACAGATGCAGAAGCTTGGTGTCAGCCGAAGGGCTTTCTAAAAGCTGCGGGAGTAGCTTGGTTGCATCCCCACTGGAAAAGTGCCTATATGGAGCTGAGGTTTGGATTCTTGAACTCATCATCTGACCCGTTGAAACCCGTTTCATGTTCTTACAGATGAGACCCTGACAAATTGGCTGCTGTCTGATGCCCAGGAGAGGAGAATTTAGGGCAGGTTGGGGGGAAGTTTCTTGGTAGGTTAGAGGGAAGTGTTTGAGTGTTTGGGCTACTCTCTGGAGAGGGGTATTTAGGGACTCTGGAGAGCTAGAGCTGTTTCTGACCCAACCTCTGATCTCCAACCCATAGCAGAAGTGGCCAAAGCTGTAGCCTCTGCCTTCTGATGCCTTCAGCATTCCCAGAATTGGGAATGGATCCGTTTTAGAAGCAAGGACAAGGACTGGGAGCAGCAGTGAGAGCATTTTTTTCTCCACGCTCATTTCCTGGGTTAGTGGAGTGTATTCCCCCAGGTTTTTCAAGGAGAGGACGACAACCCTTTGGAGAAAAAAATCCTTAAACTCGTAACAGCACAGGAAAAACTTGCGGTGGGTCATGGTGTCCTCGGGGTCCCTGGCCACACGGAGTCAGTGTTGCTCCTTGTAGGAAGCGCTATGGACCAGATTTGTTCAAAGTAGCCAAGTTTCCTGAGGAAAAATGAGGTGGGAATGCGGTGAATTTGCAAACGTCCTACCTCTTTCTGTGCTGCTCCTTGGCATTTATTTATTTTATAAAGCATAATTTGGGGACAATGGCAAAGGTGACAGGGCTGTAAGGGGGGTGGGAGCCGCGGGGTGGTGTCACACGCGGGAATCCATGGCATACATCTTGCTGGTGGGCGTCCTTCCCCGCGCGCGGGCAGGTCCCTGCGGTTGCTGGTGGCTGCTGGAGTCTGGTGGAAGAAACGAGGGCCTGTGTCACTCTCCAGAGGGTGTCGCCGGCCTTCGGCTGGCTGGGAGGGGATGACGCGAGCTGACCTGTGCGGACGTGGAGGCAGCAGGTCAGCACGACGGATGACACCAGGCAGCCAGTGGAGCTGGCCATCCCCAGCCAGCAGGACCACCCGAAGTCGTAGTGGACTCCCAAGAAGATATTGTGGGCCACCAGCGTGGCTCTCTCCACGTAGACATCCACCGCATACCACACCGAGCCGATGAGACCCAGGACGCCTAGGAGGAGTAGGGCCTGTGAAGAGAGCACCAAAACCACCGCCTGCTCCCCAGGACCCTCCCCAAGACAGCCCCAAAGACCTCCTGCCCCCCAGACTGCTTCCATCCATCCCTTGCCCACAGCCCGGCCACGCACTCCCGATGCTGAGGATGATGCCGGCCACGAAACACATCTTCAGCTTGATGTGGGGCTCTTCCTTGAGGAACTTGATGCAGTCGAGTCCCAGAAGCAGTATAGCCAAAGCCAGGCCCGCCAGGAGGTCCGCTGCGATCAGCAGCGTCCGCGTCACCACGATCTTCACTGGGAAGGGTGAAAAGAGCAGAAATGGTGCTGAGAAAGGGGCAGCCCTCTGCTCCATGACTGCTCCACGTCCCCCCTAGAAGCAACTGGTCCATCAGTGAGTGTCCCCCACTGCATGTCACCTTACCTGGATGGTCCGCTAGAATGGAGTCATACTGGTCACAGGTCTTGACCCCATCCTGCATGTTGGTGACACACTCCCTCCAAAGCCCCCGGCACTTGTGGCTCACCTGGAAGGGGCGGAGAAAAGCTCAAGGAGAAGGTGGGTACCCCTGAAAGCACCACGGAGCCCCTCAACTCCCCAGGCAGCAAAGCAGGCCTGCTTGGGTCTCACCACCATGGCCTGACAGGTCCTGGAGACTCCTTTCTGTTCTAGCTCCTGGCTAATTTTCCAGGGCAAGAGTGAGCTTAGACCATCATCTTCTCTCTAGGCTTGTGAAGACAAGCTGTAACCCAGACCAAGTCCTGACTGCCCCCTTGCTGTTCTGCTCACCTCCAAGCTGTCATCAGCGTTCACCATCCAGCAGTCGGTGCACGTGGCAATGACCAGGAAGAGGGTTGAGAGCAGAGCAATGCCAAATGCCATCATCTGCAAGACCATGCTCATGGGGACACCTATGAGGGCAAAGACACAGACTCCTGCCACCACCACCCTGCCCACAAAAGTACTTCCCACCTTCCTGACTAGGCTCTTCTCAGCCCAGGTGAGTTGTCTGGACATTTGGGGCTCATCTCAAGGGCTTCAGCACTGCCAGTGAGCTCTAGCTGAGATGATGTGGAGGCCAGGAGCTGAGGGACATATTCATTTTGCAGTGGAGACATGTCCTCATTGAGTTGCTTCCATCACATCTTGCATCACATCTTCCAAAAGGATCATCTAAAGCTGCCAACTGTAGCACAGCTCTTCAGGCAACCAAGAGCAGTTTGGAATCCACCCTTCCTGCTGTGGCCAGACCCTCTAATCTGGTAGCCCAACTCCTCAGCTATCTTGATGCCTCCATCCCTGGCAACCCAAATCTTGGCATCACCGTTTGCAACATCCATGGCAGCGCGTTGGGTAGAGGGGTTCCCGTAAGTTGGATTTTAAAGAGAGGCAGTTGTGGGAAACAAAATTAACAGGGTTAAGGAGGTAAAAACCAGACCAGCAAGATTTGGCACCACAGCCCCCCTCTTAGGAGGCCCTCACGAAGGACCTGAGCCGGGAGCATCTCCGCCAGCCTCACTCAGCAGCACCCACAGGATTTCCAGCAGCCTCTTGGACTCTAATTTACCCTATTTTTTAATTTCTCAGGCCCCCTCCTGAGCTAACTCTCTGTAACCTTTTTCCTCCGCCAACCCCTGGCTGTTTTGGAGGCTTTGAAGAAAATCTGTTCAGCCAGTTGAGTTATGTGAGCAAGAAAAAAAAACAATCCGTCTCCAAAGGAAAAGCTCCGTCTTTCTTTGCACTCGCATAACTTCAAAACAACTTCATTTTAACACTTGCGGGGCCACCCTCGCAATCAGGGCAACTCCGAATCGTCCCTAATTCTCACCCTTAGTGACCTCAGGATGGACGACTGGAGCATCCTCGTTGGCCAACGCTCATTAACCCGCCCTTTGGAGTGGGTCTGAGCTGGGATTTCTCGGCAGCAAAGCAACACGGAAAGAGAGTTTTGGGCAAAACGACTCCATAAATGAGTTTCATTAAAAAAAAGAAAAAAAAAATATCTGCTGTGAACCACCTTGCAGAAGAGCTGGACCTTCTCCATCACCCAAACTCAGAACAGCTTTGACCCATCAGCGATGAAAAGAGCCTTGCGGGAGTTATTACCTTCACGAGGGCAGCATCAGCCTCACCCGTGTTTTTTCCAAAGGGAACAAGCCGAGGAGTCCTCCTTGGAGCTGCTCACGACGTCTTGAAGGCTTTGAGTCCAGCAGGGCTCTCGCTGAGGACCCCGGCGAGCACCAGGAGTCACCTGATGGAGGTGGGAACCCGGTGCCCGTGGGGCTCCCTAAAGCCCTCGCAGGGGCTGGCGGGTGGGTTTTGTGCTCCGCAACGTGACGCCCGCGGGTTAGGGACCAAGTTCAACCTCGGAAAAAGTCCTTTCACCGCTGACGGGCTGCGACTGCGCCGAGATAACGACGACAGCCACCCCCACTGCTGGGCTCCAGCCACGCTGGCCAGAATTAAGACTTTTAACAGTAATATTTCCCTTTTTTTCCCCCCATGAAGGGGGAAGGCTATTGCTCTGCAGCAGTTAATTTTGGGGGACTTGATCAATTTGGGGATTTCTAGCGGAAAATGAAGCAGTTTTGCCACTGGTTTGGAGAACCCCAGGCCAAGACCCCTGGTCAATGGCTCCCACATCCCGGGATCCCCAGGGCTGAACCATAAACACCTATACAGATATATATGGGCTGTGGTCCCATCCCCGGCTTTTCCAAATTCTTGGGGAGGGAGGAAGATGGGACGCTCTCGTAAGGGACCATAAATACCCCAGGGGAGTGTTGAAATAGAATTATTACTTTTTTGAAGGGAAAAAAGTGATTCTCCCCCCAGCTCCCGATACTTCTTTCCAAGCAAGTTTTCCCCTCCTTTCTGTGTGTCCAACACCAAATATTTTCCGGCGTTCCTGATGCTGCAGGGAGGAAGTGATGGCCGGGATGAAACCTCCCTGCCAATGACACTAAAAAATGCCCCTCGCCAGCAGTGCTGGAGCCAAGGAAAACAGCAGGGATTCCCTCCCGATTGCACCGCGTGGAAAATTTGGTGGCACTTTTTTTGTGTTAAAAGAGCCAGACCATCATTATATACAACACACTATTAAAAAAAAATCTAATTTATTAATTTCCTTTTAAATCTCATGTTTTCTTTTAAGTCCTGCTTTTGGTATCTTTGGCTGGGAGTTATTTTTTGGAAGGGGACCTCCTTCTGGCTGGATCCCCCCACAGGATTGAGGGGAATATGCTTTAATAGGGGGCATGCAGTTAAAAATCAAGGAGGAAAAGAGAGAAAAGCAGGCTGGAAAATAAGGGATATGTAGCCCAGTGGAGGAGTTAGTAGTGACCAGAGGTGGCTTTGCTTGAGGGACCTGGTGGAGGGGAGGGGGTTTTCAAGAAGGAAAAGAAAAAAATAATGAAAAAAATTAAAGTTTGGCCCTGGCTGAGGCTCTGCAAGACAGCGGGTTACCTTGAAACCGGCTGGAAATGTAACGGGAGCCGATATTTGAGCTCTCAAGTCCCATTTTTCCCCCACTGAAGTGTTTCCCAAGCCAGCAGAGCTGTGCGAGGGCTTCCCACCACTCCGGGCTGTTTCTTAGAAAAATGAACATATTGGAAAAACTCATTTTGGGGGTTCCTGTTGTCCCTGGGGAAGTCAGGAAAAGCCCCTGAGAAACTGGTGCTGGCGGAACGGGAAGCTCCGCCAGGATGGGGTACACAGAGAAGGGCGTTGTGGGAAGTGGGAGGACGGATGGATGGATGGACGGGTGGATGGATGGACGGGTGGACTCAGACGTACTCGCGGGCAGTGGAGGGCTGCGAGGGCCGGTAGCGCTGGGGCTGGTGCCGCTCACCCGCTGGGCACGAGCAGCAGAGCAGGGAGCCACCGAGGCCGGCGAGGCCGGCGGCCGCCCAGCCCACGAAGAGTGCGGAGCCGAACTCGTACCTGGAGACAGGGAGGGGAAAAGCAGGAGGGAAAAAAAAAGAGGTAAAAAAAAAAGAGGGGGAAGGATGGCAGAGAAAGAAAAAAAAAAAGGAAAAAAAGAAAAAAAAAGAAAAAAAGAAAAAAAAAGAAAAAGAAAAAAGAGAAAAAAAAAGAAAAAAAAGAGAAAAAAAAAAAGAAAAAAAAGAGAGAGAGAGAGAGACAGAGAGGGGGGATCTCACCTGGCATTGACAGGGGTGCTGGGATTGAAGAACTCGTGGGTGACACGGGCCGCATAGAGGGAGACTGCAGCCAGTGTGCAGAGCCCTGCAGAGGTGAGGAGCCCATTAGTGTCTCTCAAGACCCATTTTGGGGTGTTTTTTTTTTTGGCAGAGGAAGTATGGAAGAAATAGAGCAAGAAGCTGGAGTCCTACCTGAGAGGATGAAGAGGATGCCACCAGCGACAGCTACGCGACCCTTGGTGACGGGGTCGTCCTCGCCCACCCTGGTGCATTTCATGCCCACGACGCTGACAATGAGGCCAAAGAAGCCGAGTAGGATGGAAACCACCATGAGGGCCCGTGAGGTCTGCACGTGGGCTGCAGGGTTGTGGGGAAAAAATGGGGGGAAAAGCTGGGAAAGGGGAAAAAACTCCCAAGGTTTCGCAGGGTGCTGCACCCCGTGCTCAACTCAGCCCTGCTCTCAAGCCCGTGCTGCCTCCCCACTGTGCTCTTCCTCGCTGTGATGTTCCCCTCCACAGAGTTCAGAACCAGTGTGGGAGTGAGGGTCAGACCCATGGGGGGATCCACACCTTGGGAGGAGTCGCTCAGCTCCATCGAGGGGATGCTCAGCCCTATAGCGGTGGTGGTGGGGGGGATCAGACCCCAATGGGAAGATAGTCTCGGTGGAGGGGGTTCAACCCTATAGCAAAGCACTCGGCCTCATAACAGGGATCAGTCCCACGCTGGGGGGTGAATTAGTCTTATGAGGGAGGTGCTCAGCCCCCTGGGTGGGGGATCAGCCCCCCGGGTGGGGGATCAGCCCCATGGGTGGGGGTGCTCAGCCCCATAGAGGAAGGGACCAGCCCCACGGCGGCGGCGCCCAGCACCCGCAGCGATGCCCGGCACGCACCGTCGAGGGCGAGCAGCGAGTCGTGCAGGCGGCACTGGAGCTGCCCGGTGCTCTGCGCGGCGCAGCTCATCCAGAGCCCCTCGTAGAGCCCCACGGCCGTGATGATGGCGTCGCCCGCGTACGAGCTCTGCCGCCACTGGGGCAGCGCGGCGGCCGCGAGC